GGGGGGGGTCATACGAAATGGAAAATCCATTCTAGCCAGGATTTTGTTAGTGTGGTGTATATTTGGGTGTCTAAAAATTGTCTTTGAACAGAGTTTTGTTTTCCGCTTTAGTACAGTCAAGATGTGACTCTCGTTTAAGAATGATTAAATGAGACAAAATTCTTTCCCATGTTGTTTGGAGTCGTTGATTTTTTCCTCTATGTTCAATAAGTCACATATGTGTTCTGAAGTTTTTGCTTATAGATTTGTGTTCTTTTGAATGTCTTTTCATGGATATGTATATTTCATCCTCTGCATTCCATAAGTTGTATGCTATGAAATTTATACTTGTGTGTATTTTGTTGTTTTTTCTCAGATATTTCTAAACTACCTCCCGCGAGAGAGGGCACAGTGGCCAAAAGTGCTGCAGAAACAAAGGTGAGGTTTGCCAAGTTTGCCTGGTTTGCTTTATATTAATAATAGATAGCATTTGTAATGCGCAAATCCGCGCTCAACAGCAGGCTCTATGCGCTTCACAATCTATACTATTACCCCAGCAGACCTGAGAGCATTCTGAAACAACTTCAACTTCCTTGGAAGCATACAGTGCAAGCGGCCATTTATAGGCGCTAAAACACTAACATATTGACAAGATCTTTACCTAAATAATGTTGGGTTTTAGTAAGGCAGATGAAGTTGACAAGTTTTCGGGGTTTTTAAAAAAATTTAAGAAACAAAAATTGAAATAGGCTACATGACAAAAAAGGAAGATGTAACAGATGTTTTATGTAGAGCCATTATGCTGTGCCAAATTTTTCTCGTGATCCCCAGTTATCAGCAGGGAAAAAGGATGGCGTATGAAATGATGACGTTTTGCTATTCATGTCTTTTCCTGTTCAATGCTGGTATTGTGGCTGTTGTCATTGACTGCTTTGTCCAGTGCCTGATGATATTGAAGCAGCTTCTCTGCTATCTCTCCGGCCTTCTATAATTTATTTCGTAATTGAAGTGTTTGTGAACAACTTGGAAAGGTGCTGCAAATGACAGCCTGTGTAGCACCCTGGGGCCGTTCCACTGACTGAAGTGTCTTTAGGCCATTCCCAAAGGGGGGGGGGGGACATTTCTCGTTCTTATGCACAGTAGAATTGTAAATGGGCTGCTTCATCAATGTCATGCTCATAACTGTGCCTGAACTACAACAAGGAACTGCTTCTTTCCTAATCCTTACTAGATATCGTCATTTCCTCTATTTCTTTTGTATGTTTGTCACTCTCTTGTGACCCGCTATTTCCGGGGTGCCTTGAAAGTGGAAACGGACTTTGTGCTGTTGAAGCTAGAGAGGTGAGCAGAGTAATCCCGATTCCCTGTAAGGACTTCTCTGTTAACCTCCACCCCTTGGCGCTCAAATGACCTTATGCAGTTGCGAGGGCCGTAAAATCTCTACTATAAAAAAAACCCAGCCTGCGTAGTACAACAAAGGGGAAATCCTTTCAGGACCCCCCCTCGAAAGAATTTTGAGCAATAGGGGGCTCTGCATGTTACGCCCACTCCTTGGTGGCTGAAGGCTCATCACAATAAGATACAATTTTGACAGGTGGTTGGCGGGTGCTCTGGTGTGGTTTGTCCTTCTTTCCTTTCAAACATCTACTGTCCTTATCTCCCCTCCTTCTATTTTGTGTTTGTTACTCTCTTGTAACACCTCGAATCTTCAGCACTTGTATGACCTTATTGTCTTGCAAGTGCCGTAAAACTCTTACAAAAACTTTTAAAAATTACAAAATTATACATTTCATGCTCATTGGCCAATTCTGTGTGTTGTGATTATAGTTTGTAAAATAATCTTTTGAGAGTTTAAACTTTTAACAAGGCTCAATAATGATTTGAAATTGTAATTTTGATATCACAGGAAACTGTACCAGCAGTATATGGAAGAAATTATCATATTGCCAGGCAAAAAGATGAAATCACAAGCATCTGCCAGCGGAGAACTGGGCGACCATGTGAGTGTTTGATGTCTTGTGTTCACTCGTGTCTGTAAGACTGACGCACGTGTCTCTAAGACTAAAAAGAAGAACTGTGTGTGAAATAAATATAGTCGAACCTGCTCTAATGGCCAGTACAAATGACCACTTCCCGTCCCCCCCCCGCATTTTTTCTAT